TTCTTTCTTTCTTTCTTTCTTTCTTTCTTTCTTTCTTTCTTTCTTTCCTACACTGGGAATAGCTATTTTTAGCTACTTTATCACACCACAAATCCTTATTGAGTTTACAATCCACTAAATCACCCAGTTCTTATCCACTTATGTGTTGTTCAAGCACACCTCCACTATCCTCTATTTGCCAAGGTAATTTTTTGAACCCAAGTCTGAGACTTTCCATAACCTCTATTAAATTTCACCATTCATTTCCAATGAGCCCTCTTAGAATCCACTCTAATCTCCCCTCTAATCCACCACTCACAGAGACACAATGAGCCTTCTGAAACACGAGCCTAACCGCGACACTCTCTTGCTCAGTGAGCTCCAGTGACTTTCTATCCCTCCTAGGGTCCAACACAAAGTCCTGTTTGTCATTGAATACCTTTCACAACCTGCCTCCAACCTGCCTTTCCAGGCTTTTTACATTTTACTCCCCTTCACGCTCTCTACAATCCAGACTTCTTGCTGTTCCAGCACAGCACAGGTAGCAGTAGAGGAGTGATATGGTCAGATTTGTGCTTTATTAATTTGGCAACTGTGTTGAAAGATGGGGCAGTTAGGGGGCGCCATAGTGCACAGAGTGCTGGGCTTGGAATCAGAAAGTCTCATCTTCCTGAGTTCAAATCTGGCCTCAGACACTTACTAGCTATGTGAACCTGAGCAAGTCACTTCGCTCTGTTTGCCTCCATTTCCTCAGCTGTAAAATGAGCAGAGAAGGAAATGCAAGCCACTCCAGGATCTTTGCCAAGAAAACCCCAAATGGGTCACAAAGAATCAGACATGACTGAAACAACACAACAGCAATGTCTAATAAATGCTCATTGATAGGTTGATTATTCCTCCATCACATTCCATCTCTCATCTCCATGCTGTTGCACAGGCTGTCTGTCCCTCATGCCTGGAATGCCCTCCCTCCTTACTTCCAGCTCTTGAATTCCTAGCTTCCTTTGAAGCTAAGCTCAAGCAAAACCCTCTCCTGTCCCAATTCCTCCAGTGACTAGTGCCACCCACCCAAATTAACTTTTAGTTACTTTATATATTTCATATGAATACATTTGTATTAACATATTGATACATTTTATATATTTCATATCTCCTTATACACACATTTCCCCAGATAGAATATACTCTCCCTGATGGCAGATACTGTTTAATTTGCATCGTTATATCCAGGTACAGTGCCTAGTTTGTAGCTTAATAAATGATTGTTGATTGATTAGTTGGTTTACTGATCGATTAATTGAACCTAGTGTTCTAGCCTGAAAATATCTTTCTGGAGTCTGACTGGTGTAATGTGTTGGGCACCCCTCCCAGCTTTTTGCCATCTCCGCCTTCATCCAAGCCATTGATCAAACTATGAAGGACCTGGGGCCAAGAACATATCACCACTAGAGACTCCCCTCCTGGTTGGGATCTATCTATTATTCACTATTCTTTGGGTCTGCTCATTCAGTCAGTTCTGCTGCACCTAACTGTACTACCACTTAGCCCACATCCCTCTGTCTTGTCTACAGAGATATCATGAGAAACTTTGTTGAATGTTTGTCAAACTCCAGATATAGTCTATCAAAAGCACTTCTCTCATCTATCCTTCTAGGGACCCTGCTGAAAAAAAAAGGTGACTATGTGGGCATTCGTGACCCCCATGAACAACTTTGGATATTCTGCTGTGACTTTGCCATCTCTCCCACTAAGGTCAATAGCCAATAAACATTTCTTAAGTGCCTACTTAGGGCTGTTAGGTGGCACAGTAGATAGGGTACTAGGCTTGGAATGAGGAAGACTCATCTTCATGAGTTCAAATCCAGCCTCAGATACTTACTGTGTAACCCTGGGCAAGTCACTTCACTCTGTTTCCTCATCCGTAAAATGTAAAAATCTATACCACTCTAGTATATTTGCCAAAAAATACCAAATGGCGCCATGAAGAGTCAGACACAACTGAGACTGAGCAACCACTGAAACAAAAGCACCTACTGTGTGGTAAGTGCTGGCAATACAAATAAGAAAAAGAAAGTCTCCATCATTATTATAATCTAACAAGGGAAGACAATACATAAACAGAATGTGAAAAAGGTCAGGGTGGGGGTTGCTAGAGGGTACCCAGAGCAGGGATGTGATGTTCAAAAACCCGAGCAGAACAGCTAGTGGGAAATGAAGAGTTGGCTGGGAAAAGGTAAAGGTCACCTTTTTGGAGACAAGGAAAAACACTTAAGTGTACAACCTAGAATCAAAAGCCCTCTGGACTACCATTAACATCTGAGGACCGTTATGGTATCAAAGACCGGAAACAAAGAAAGTGTCC